GGATGGTCCGCGCCAGGCACCAGCCCGGCGGGCTTTGCCTCCTCCTGCTGCTGCTTTGCCAGTTCATGGAGGACCGAAGCGCCCAGGGTGAGTAAGGGGGTATGTGCTGGGGAGGCTGGACTAGGAGATGGGCTTTCTACTTTCTGTCCTCTCCACTTGGTCTGTTCTGACCAACACTCCTCTAGGAAGATGTTGGACTAATTTAACGACTCCAGGATGAAGAAGAGTGGGAACACTGAAGGCAGTGACACTTTAGGACTGGGAACGGAGTTTGGAGCTCGATTATCCTTAAAAAGTAAAGAGGGTAAGCTGGAGTCTCGCTTGGTAGTTAGGGTTAGATGCTCCAAGTTCTGGCCATGACGACTTTAGATGTCTTCCCTGGTTGGCTCTCCGGAAGGAGACAAGCATCCGTAGCCCGGAGATTTCAGTCGGCCCAATTGCAGTCTAACCTCTCGCCCGCATCTTTTGGTGACTAAAAAATCAGCTGGGGTGGGGGAGAGATACTGAATTTTCTTGGGTGGCTGGGGGACGTGGTTTCAGAAACTTTGCCCAAACTTGGAAATGTGGGTGCTGAAATTTTTAAAGGAAGTGGCTTTCTTTCTGCTTAGTGGATGCTTCTTGCGACCCCCTCCCCCAACCGCGCAAAAAAAGAAAAGAAAAGAAAAAGAGCCAGATTACTCTGGAGTGTTTTGAGTACTTTATAATTTCCCCTTTCTCTTATTCCTCTGTTAACTTTCTGTAAGTGAGCAGCCCACAACTGATTTAAATTGTAAGGCGAATTAAGAGCAAGATTCTGAAGTTTATCTTTTAAAACTGGATTTATTCTATTTCATTAAATCTTTGGCCATATTTTTTAAAAGAACGCCCATAGAAGTTTGCGTTCCAGTTATTGTTAAAGTCACATCGGTGAGTCATAAGAAGTCTTCCTGCCCGAAGTCCGAACATTAAAAAGGGGGAAGGAGGAGGGAATTATTTGCAAAAAATTCTTGGTAGGAATAGGTAGGTATGTATAACCATAAAATGGTAGACGCCTGCCCCCTTTGCCATGCTACTTTGCCTGCGTTAGCGAGATCATTTTTGTGGGTGGTAAACTGCTCTCCAGAGCACTCCCGCTCCGTCTGCCCGGCGCTACGCTGGGTGCTGGATTACCCGCCTTTCGCGGAGAGGCGCTGCCTGGGTGCCGGGGACGTGGGCGCCAGGGAAGGCAGCCCCCAGAGATTTCGAAAGATCTTGATGACTGCGGGCTTGCTCCGGGTCTGGCGGATTGCAAAACGGGCCCGTCCTGTGAGCTGCGCCTCATCAGGGCAGCTCTAGGCTGGGCCAGTTGTTTTTTTTTTTTTTTTTTTTTTTTTTTTTTTTTTTTCTTTAAATGTCTCAGATAATAAGGCATATTTTATTTTTCTCTCTATCTTTGATAAGTTCAAAGGCTGCCTGTTGAAGATTATGTGACACAAGCATGAGAGGAGGCTCACTCCAACTTTTATAATGGTAAATTAATCCCTGTCACAAATAATTCGTCTGCCGCCTACATGAAACCAACATGTAAAAACATCCGTCGCATCCTGTTTTTGTCAGGTTCTTTAATCTGCTCTTCGAGTCGCTGCAGGTTATGAAATGGGACGAATAAAAGTAAACAGTCTAGTAAAAGTCAATGCAAGCTGCACGTGTTGTGTCTGGGTCACTGGTAACTGACATTGATATGGCTAGGGCGCTCCGGCTTCTCCCTCTCGCCCTCCCTCCCACTCGCCCACCTCGCTGAGCAGGGCTTCCCCCTCTCTCTCCTCACCCCACCCCCTTCCATTTATTTTCTGCTTTGCTTCCCGTATCTTTCGCTCTTCTCCCCTCCTCCACGCTCACCCCCTTGCCATCTCCACCGTGTCTCCGTTGCTCCCGCTGACTGCTTTCCTCCCCCTCCTCCGTTGCTCTCTCGTTCACCTCCCCACTCCTGTCTCTTCACAGCTGGGAATTGCTGGCTCCGCCAAGCGAAGAACGGCCGCTGCCAGGTCCTGTACAAGACAGAACTGAGCAAGGAAGAGTGCTGCAGCACCGGCCGCTTGAGCACCTCCTGGACCGAGGAGGACGTGAATGACAACACACTCTTTAAGTGGATGATTTTCAACGGGGGCGCCCCCAACTGCATCCCTTGTAAAGGTAAGACTCTTCCTCTCCATCTTAGGCCCTCAGTAGAGGGCGTCTAACCCTCTTTTTTCTACACCAACTAGCTGGGGTTTAGGACTAGGAGAGCTTTGTTAGAGGACTCAATCATCTATCCCCAGTCCTGGTTAGTTGGGTTGAATCCAGACTGTTAGAGCTGTAGGCAAAACAAAGTCTGCAGTGGTCCCTGGACGTCTTAGCTAAGTGTGGTAGTGAAGCCAGCCAACCTGTGCTGTTTGAGAGAGATTTGAGAGTGGGGCAAATCTACCCCCACCCCGTCCCTACCCCCTCTCCCAGTCTTCTGAGAGAGAGCCTGGGCCCCTCCGCTAAGAACTAAGGACTGCCCGGCTGCATGATTGCGCAAGCCACCCTCAGCCCTCCTGGCTGACCTGCGGACTGCCTGGCCCTGGTTGCAAACCTTGTATCTTTCCAACTCCTAGAAACGTGTGAGAACGTGGACTGTGGACCAGGGAAAAAATGCCGAATGAACAAGAAGAACAAACCACGCTGTGTCTGCGCCCCAGATTGTTCAAACATCACGTGGAAGGGTCCAGTCTGTGGACTGGATGGGAAAACCTACCGCAACGAATGTGCACTCCTGAAAGCCAGATGTAAAGAGCAGCCAGAGCTGGAAGTGCAGTACCAGGGCAAATGTAAAAGTAGGTCCCATCCTTGAGCAAGAATCCACCTTCCCTCCTTCAGCTTTTTCTTTAGTCCTCTGTGCAAGACCTCTGGGGGATAGTATAGTCTACACAACAGCCTAATGATAATAATAATAATACCAAATAAAGCCCTTTTCTAATTTCGAAAGAATCATGAAGAGTTCTGGGAGGAACCAACCCAGAATCACAGATCTTTTTCTTTTGAAAACCCCCAGGGTCCTAAATTTCTTTTGCAAAATGGATGCTTCAGTTTTTTATGATTTCCTTGATATTTCACATGCTTGCTCTCCATTACCTATTGAAGATTGTTTCCTTCTTCTTTTTTTTTTTTTTCCAGAGACCTGTCGGGATGTTTTCTGTCCAGGCAGCTCCACGTGTGTGGTGGACCAGACCAATAATGCCTACTGTGTGACATGTAATCGGATTTGCCCAGAGCCCACCTCCTCTGAGCAGTATCTCTGTGGGAATGATGGAGTGACATATTCCAGTGCCTGCCACCTGAGAAAGGCCACCTGCCTGCTGGGCAGATCGATTGGATTAGCCTATGAGGGAAAGTGTATCAGTAGGTATTCTGGATCGAGAAAGGAAAAAGAGATTACAGAGGATTGAAAAGGCTAGTTTTAGTACTGAAATGATAGGGTTAATCAAAGACTAAAGCCCAAGGTCTCCTCCAGTGAGGAGGGAGAAATGCTCTCCAGTTTGGGTAAACTGTTGTGACTACAGAGTTCCTCATGGAAACCCGCTGTCTTCTGAAAGCATTGACATACATACTCAGATGCCAGGAAGAATCAGGAAACAATATTCCATCTCAGAAAACTAAGAACTCACACAATTTTACACATTTTTAAAAAGTGCCAGACTTGCTAGAAGCGAAAAATAATTACTGAACAGTTCCTAAAATCTGTTATCAGGGACCAGCAATTGATGGAATTCTTTTTTTTTTTTTTTTTGAAGATTACCACTTTGTAGGAAAAATCAGATGCATATTTAACTCAAGGATACCATAAAATCCTGTTCCAAAATATGCTGTTTTCCTGTACTTCTGTAAGAAGAGACTGTAGAGTGTGTGTATGTGTGTATGTGTGCTTGAATGTTTAATCAAATACCTTTGCATAACATCTTCATTGCCCCATTGTAAATAATAAAATATAAATTATGTGTTTATATTTATTAGTAGAGAACTAAAGAAAGGGACCAGAGGGGGAAATGGAGCAATCAGATCACTTATCACAGATGTATTATATCCTAGAAGCAAAGTCCTGTGAAGATATCCAGTGCGGTGGTGGAAAAAAGTGTTTATGGGATTTCAAGGTTGGCAGAGGACGGTGTTCCCTCTGTGATGAGCTGTGCCCTGACAGTAAGTCGGATGAGCCTGTCTGTGCCAGTGACAATGCCACTTATGCCAGCGAATGTGCCATGAAGGAAGCTGCCTGCTCCTCAGGTGTGCTGTTGGAAGTAAAGCACTCCGGATCTTGCAACTGTAAGTGTGATTTTTAACTCTTCTGTAATTTAAGGCTTTCCCAAGCAAGCCCTAGGAAATGAACACTTTAAAAACGCACACAAGGGCCAGGGATTTATCTCAGTGGTTCCACTGCCTGCCTCACAAGTGCAAGGTCCCGAGTTCAATCCCCGGCACCAAATTAATTAATTAATTAATTAATTAAAAAGCACACAAACCTCCCCATGCTAGCCCATTTCTGTTTAAGTAACGTAGTGGCTCAATTTCACCTACATCACACTGATCTACAGAAACATTCTCTGCAATGTTTCCCAACTTTTAGGACTTATCTGGTGATCAGTTGGGTTACCTTAATAAAACACCTATATCTGGTTGTTTGCCCCTAATTCATTTGCTCTAGTAATGTGCTTCGCTGTTTGCTTCATTAACACTTGAATCTAAACTAACTTCTTCAAAAAGTACCCCCCCCAAAGACAGCTTTATATATTATCACACATGGGCTGCTGCTTTTCACAGTTGCCTATACTAACTCTGAATTAAGGACCCAAAGCAGTAATACCTAGAACACAAGAGCGCTTTTTATCTAATTTCAGGAATCTGCCTGTAAAACCTGAGCCATTGATTCTTCAGAACTTTCTGCAGTTTTTTGACTTCATAGATTATGGGTTTTTTTTAAATTTAAAGTTATTACATAACAGCAGATGCCAAAACAAATAAAAGCATCTCACTGCAAGTTACATAAAAATGCCACGCTGTAATATGGCTATATGAGAGGGCTTTGAAAACGTACACTGAGCTGCTTCTGCGCTGTTGTTGTCCATATTTAAACAACAGCTCCCCTGTATTCCCCCATCTAGCCATTTCGGAAGACACTGAGGAAGAAGAAGATGAAGAAGACCAGGACTACAGCTTTCCTATATCTTCTATTCTAGAGTGGTAAACCCTCCACCAATGTTCATGTTCACACAGGCTTTGAGCAAAACAAAACAAAACAAAAAAGAAACAAAAAAAACAAAAAAAATATATTGTCCATACTGTAAATAAGTGTATGCTTATTTATTTGGGGGGAAAACTATACATTAAAGGACCTTTGTCCTAAAGCTCTCTCCCAGGCCACCTTGTTACTCACTGGGCATGGAGAGGCAGTCATTGTGAGGTCTACTGGATGAGGACCATAGTTGAAACTTGTAGACATTTATTTATACTGTGTCATGTTTTATAATTTATACATAAAATGTCTGGTTGACTGTATACCTTGTTTTTGAAGAAATTTATTCGTGAAAGGAAGCGCAGTTGTTATTTATTGTGAGGTCTCTTGCTTGTAAAGTAAAGGCTTTTTTTTTTCCCCCTTGTAAACCATTTAAGTCCATTCCTTACTATCCATTCACTCATCTGTCTCCTTTCATTTCACTGTACTTTTTCACTTTTAACAAACTTGCATGTTCGTTTCTGTCATGTTTATTTATTGGATTCTCTGCTGCCTGATCTGTACATACATGATCCCTCGGGTTTTGTTTACAAGGAATCTTGACTGACCAAAAGGCATTATAACTCTGACTCAAATGCAAGGTACAGAGGACATGCATCTTTGAGGAAACTCCTACTTCATTTCTCTTGTGCTGATGAGGCCATTTGTGGGAGAGGGTGTGAGAGCAGTGTTAGAATTCTATTAATGTACTTTTAAAATGTTACAAATCCAAAGACATGGAGTGATGTGGGTGTCTCAAGACTAAAGAAAGGCAAACGCTACACATTTAACCTTTTGTTAGGTGTTTCCTTTAAGCTAGTCAGCTGTACCTTTTAAATTCTTTTTCAACCAATGTGTCACTAAAAGTTCTATCAAAGATTTATCAGTTCAAGTTTCTTGCTTTTCATAATACTTTCTTCTGATGCAATTTTATATTTTCAAACATGGCAAGTTAAATATAAATTCATTTAAATATATAGTTTTGTACTTTTCTACCATGTAAATGTGCAATGTATATAAAAGTTATAATGTGTATTTGTAAATAAATGATGAGTGAAAAAATAAAAAAAAATTTAAAAAGCTGATGGTTCCTTTTTTTGATGCAAGAAAAGTTGCTTCAACTTTTGAGTAAAAATGTATATGGTACATTTCCCAAGAATATAGTTCTCACTGAAATGAAAGTGACCACAATAGTAAAAACTCCAAAATGAGGTAAATTATAAATCATCTATGGAGATTGAAAAATAAAGGTCCAACAGCCCCTTTAGAGGAGTGACATGTATGTGACACTAGCCACAGAAAGAACAGTCTTGTAGATGTGAATTCATCTCCAGACTGCATCAAGCCTTTCTGCCATTGAAAACACCCTTAGCTGTCCTTATTAACACAGCCAAGGGCCCCCTATATCCTGCTATCCTCATCTAAATGAAGTGGGTCTGAAATCATTACAAGATTCATCAAAAGAAAAGTGAAGACAGACTGATAATATTTGATGAACACATTCTAGAAATCAGAATGTCAACTGCAGAAACAGGCATAATAGTATTGGAATTCTTGAGACTTGAGATTGTAGATTTCCACAATGAAGTCCATCATTCATGAGGATCAAATAACACTCAAAGTAGGAAAGGGGCTGTTAATATTTTGCAGTTTGCTATGCACTACTAGACCCTCAAAATGGCATTGCAGGGATCTATTACTGGTCTCTATAATACAGTCTAATACATAAGGATACATAAAGAGATCATCTAACCAAGATTCCAATTAATTGTATTTCATTCTCAGAGCCTAAATATATTAAAAATATCAAAGGAATGTAAGATGAAAAGAAGTGGGAAACAACTGGGAGGGAAAGAGCAAAGATACTATCAACATTATTAAATAATGTTATACTAAATAAATTTCTTTCAATGAGCATGACCCAAGTTCTTTTTAGTAGTTCATCTCTTTTGTGAAGGTTCTCTTAAGTATGAATAATGCTAAAAATTACTGTCAGAAACTGTTGGTCACCAAATGAGAAATTTGGTGGAGGCAAAGAAGCCTCTTATGTAGGCAGATCTGTATTTAATGAATAGGTGTCTCTAAGATTTTGTGACCTTTCTGCTCTGGCTTCTCAGAAAAGTAGGAAAGGAGGAGCTGAAAACAAAACAGACTGCCATTAACCACATGAGGGTCTAAGAAGAGAGTTTAACCAGTTGAGCTACTGGCTTGCCATTCAGAAAGAGGTCTCAGGAAAGGTAAAGGGCTGAACAGGTACAGTTTCACAGCCCTTCCTGAGCTGATTTGCTGCTTGGTTCTGCAGTGCTACTCATGTTAAAGCTGCCATCGACAACCAGAGTAAAAAACCACTTTAACAGGAACTGAAGTGTATTTTAGCAAGGGTGATAAAATCAACAGCTTGCTTTTTAAACAACATACATGTTATTTATTTAAATTTTTATTTGGCATTTGTCAGCATCAATCATTCCTCTTAAATACCGGTATCTCATTTTCCTTCTTGGAATTTTTTACCTAGTAATCTTACGTTAGCCTAATTAATGTCAAAAATAGATATCTCTGTGTGTGTGTGTGTGTGTGTGTGTGTGTGTACAGGATACTGGGGAATCAAACCTAGGGCCTCTGAAATGCTACTCAGGTACTTTATCACTAAGCTACACTTCCAGCCCTAGAAATTACTTAAAATTAGATTTATATCATTAGATTATTGTTTGAATTTCAACAGAAACTTGAGTCTATTTTACTTATTTGTATAATGTCATTAACAGAAACAATTATTAGTAACTAGGTTATTTTTCATTTATCTTTTCCTTTTTTTGGCAGGGGGAGATACTCAGAATGTACGCCCAGCTCTTCATCTCTTTCATTATATTATTTTGAAACAGAAACATACTAAGTTGCCTAAGTTGGACTTAAACTTCCAGTCTTCCTGTTTCAGTTTCCCAGAGTGATGTGATTATAGGCATGAGCTATAATGTCCAGAGTAACTACTTTTGATTAGTATGACTATGTCCTAATCATCACTGGGAACTGCAAAATATAAAATGATAGTGAAAAATCAATTAGAAGTCTGGTTTTCATCAGATGTGCACCTAAACAAAGAGTTTTGTATACTATATGGGATATGGTATATCGAATATGCAAAAATAAAGGCTGGCTTAATTAAAATCATCCTCAAATAGAAGAGCTAAATGCAGTACCTAATTCTAGACCAGATCTCTTATCTAAGGGTGAAAATACAACAAAATAAATAAATATTGCATCTATGCTAAATTTACTGAAATTCATCTCTATACTATGGCTATGTGAAAGATCAAAATGTATGTAATCTGTCTTTAAATGGGTTTGGCAAGAAAAAATATATTTAGTCTGTGTTTCATATATTATGCATTCAAAAAGAGTACAAAAATAGAAGTAGAAAATATTAACAATAAGTAAATCTGAGTAAGATCTATAGGAATTTTTAAAACTGTCTTTTCTTGCAACTTTTGTAACTTTAAATATACATCCAAATAAAATTAAAAGGTAAAGATAATTATTCTCAAGAAGGGGAGCTGCAGAGTAGACTGTTTCTCTTCATTCCTTTGAAATGGTCATTTTAAAAAATGATGTATGACCAAAACACTACAAAATAATTCCAGTGACTTTAGAAAGTCTATTTAGATTATCAAAATTATCAATGAAAGAATTTCTGATAACTAAACCATATCCAAACTGAGAAATGGCCTTTTCTTTTCTGAAATTATTTTTAAATTTAGAATAATTAAAATACTCTAAACACTCTTCACCACACTGTTAGGTATCTTTTGTTTGACAAGTCATTTAACCTCTCTGTGCCTTAGTTCTTCATCTATTTAGTTAGAATAATGAAAATGCCTCCCTCTTAGCAATATTGTGAGAATGAAAAGAGATAAGGTGTTTGAATTGATTCTTCCAGTGCCTGGCACAATTTTTTTAAAAAAATCAGTAAAAAGGTGTCCTCCAGTATTATAGTAATTTTTATTAAACAAAAATTTAATTAAAACCCTACCTTGAAAATACAATGAATGAGAAACTATACCAATTGAAACTAGAAGCAGGGAATATAAATTTTTAGAATTCTTAGAATCAGGAATATATCAATTTTTAGAATGAAAAATAAATGTAATCATAAATTACATTTGTTAATACTTAACAAAACTTCACAAAGTTCTAGATGTTATAGCAAAAAACATAATTCAAAAAAACAGGTTTGTTTTTAACAGGTATGTTATTTCTCATAGAAATTTAGAAGTAAATTCACTGACCCACCAACATTTTCAAGTCATAAAATGTACCTTTTATTTAACACATTAAACACAATTCCTCACACTCAAATAAATTATACCAATTTCCTATTTTTACTATAAATCTCTAGAAACAGTAACAGGGCAAACTGTACACTATCACAAATCCTGATATATGTTGTGCTATTATCAGATATTAAATGATATATAATTTTATTTAATTAATAAACTCATCTATTAAAGAAGATTTTTCAAAACCTAAGTCCTAAGATTGACACATTTCTGTTCCTCCTGCTGCAGTTTCCATTCAGAGCACCACACAGTGCTTCTTCAGCCAAAAGTTGTCATGTAAATAGACTCCAGGCATGCTTGCCTTACTAGTCAGCAAACCTGCCCAGACTTGTTCAGATCCCAGCCTCTGTTTTTCTGGAATCCCCCCATGAGCACTGGATGCTCCTGGAATTTGCCATCCTTGGACCTCAGATAACTTGGCCAGTGCCATCAAGATTCCTGTGGCAAAGTTCTTCAGACACTTAAAAAGATATTCTCTGGATTGGACCAAATGTAGTTCTGGCAGAGCTGTAATTTGTCATTTTTCTATTTTAAGACTGTGGCCAAGAAACCAACTGGCAGTGTTGGGAGCCAGATATACTCCCCACCAAACATCTCTAATATTTATTCTCCAAGAACTCATGTCTCAGACTACAGAGTGAGTGTAAGTTTTCTCAAGCATGTTGGGCCTTACCAAAAGAGCTGGAGGCAAAAGGCATAATTCTTATTTTTTTTTTTTTTTTTTTTTGA